GGGTTTTTTTTTTTTTTTTTTTTTTTTTTAACTAAACAGTTTGCTTCATATTACAGAACAACAATGAGAGAGCCCGGGGACCTCACAATTCTACCCGGAGTTATCCCGGCAGCATCAGCCGGTCTAGCTTAATAGAACCAATCCATCACCTGTGGCCAGTCAACAACTAACTTTAGTTGGTGCAAAACTATCTAAACTATGGGCCTCGCCGGTGCAAGAAACGAAAAAAAAACGACTTCGTTTCGTGAAGTCGCCGCATAGCACCCACACAAACTGTGTCAGAAAAACTCGTGAATGCTGTCAGCCTCCGAGTTCRCGAGGCCTCACGAGTGTGCCGACTCCTCCCTGCCTGCAGCCCTCGCGAACTCGTAGGTCCTCCGCTGGTAGGCTGGAGGAGCTGCRAAATTTCACGAGTGTACTGCATCGCTCCAAACGAAGTCCATCCAAGAACTTGGACCGTAGCGTCCACAAATTTGGACTGTAACGAAAAGAATCCCCCACTACTGTCGCCAGGGCGYTGTCGCTAGAGTTTTCGTGTGTGCTGTGGGGCGGTGAGGCAAAAAACGAAGCGAAACRGTGGATCAGGGCTTCGTGAGGCCTCGCRACTCTGGTGATCTTTTCGTTTCGTTAGTTGTGCCGTGCGGCGAGGCCCTATATGCAATGCTCTCAGCCATCAGGGCTGCAACTTTTAAACTCTTATGAATAAAACCAGAGGGAGCAGATGATGTAAGACTACAAACCATTCCTTACCATAGTAGCAGTAGTAATAATAAATTAGTAGTAGTTGTTCTACTAGGAGTAGTACTGGAATAGTATTAATATTTACCTTAGGTTAATAATTAGTAGGGTACCAGTATGCTTATGGACTATGGTAGGGGCAAGGGAATTTGTGGTCACCTCTGGAGGTGACTGCAAATGCCCTTTTCTTTTTTTGCATTTTCTTCAAAAATTGGCAGAAAGTGGTTCACAAAAGTTCTTGCACAATTTGTGGATGGCGCCGTGTGACCAGCCAAGTACCAAATCCCCATTTCTCCAGACGGCCGCCACCTTGTCTCATCTGAGGGCACCAGCCAAGTACCAAATCCCCATTTCTCCAGACGGCCGCCACCTTGTCTCATCTGAGGGCACCAGCCAAGTACCAAATCCCCGCCACCAAGTCTCATCTGAGGGCACGCTCACACGGGGACCTATATTCAGAAAATCCCGAAAAAAAAGGGAAAAGGCCGGTCAGACAGATCTACCAAATTCGCAAATGTACTATTCGTGAACCCATTTGTCAGCGGCCTGAGAAGCCGCGGGGCAAGGGATTTTGCGGTCACCTCTGGAGGTGACCGCAAATGCCCTATTTCATTTCTTGCATTTCCTTCAAAAATTGACAAAAATTTGTTCACAAAAGTTCTTGCACAATTTTTTTTTTATTTTTTTTATTTTTTTTTATCCAAATGAATCTTATTGCCAACAATCACTTGAAAAGAGGCCAGGAGCCTTGTCCCACTAGCATCTATTTACTCTTAGGCTCCGCCGTTTTCGGCGACGTGCGGCCATAAKTGACATCCGGCGACCGTTGATCCTTTTGTGTATCTTCGGCGCTTGGCGATGACGACTGAATTCATAACGGGGAAAGTCCGCCGGCCAATAGAAGATTTTCGTTTACAATTTTTATGCCATTTAGGTAGCCACTTTGCGTTGGCGCGAAGCTGCAATATTAGGGTGGTCGGAGGGGGGGAGCGTTTTTGCATCGATGATGTTTTCTTTTCTTTTTTGGAAAAATAGGCGWTATGATACTTGCCCAATAAATTACTGATTCGAGCCATCCGACGGCGCCGTCGGTGTGGGTGTCAGTGTTGTCACCTTATGTCTTCCAACGCGTTGGTGTATGTGTCCKCAATAAGGTCGTGGTACATTCGGCGACGTTGGAATGCAGTCTCGTTTGTGGGCGTCATGCGTCCCCCTGTTTTTTTGGGTCGACTGGGGAAAGTCCCCATGTGGAAACGCATTCGTATGAYGTACAGCAAAGGGCGTTACTTCGGCACGCGAACATGGCAGGGGTTTCGTCYCCAGTCCGACGGATGAACGTGGGCGCCGGGCATGGGAAGATACAAACTTTGGTGACGGTTTTCGACGGGAGGCTGGTGCTCGTGAGGCCCTCAGCCTGTAGCCCTAWGAGCACGACATGCAAAAGTGGCTTCCAACCTTGCCATGGCTTCATCTCTCTCTCTCTCGGCCTCGCGCAATGCGTGCGTGCTACGCTCGAGAYTCGCCCTCATTTCATCTGCCATCCGTCTCCATCCATCTATCTGTCGCCGTATCTGCATTTTCTTGACGACAAGGTCATCAGAACACTGACGCAACCACTCACGCGAGTCACGCAKCCTTTTCATGACCGACAACGCCCATCGACGGGCGTGTATGTTCTCAAGGGAGATGTCGGTTTCAGAGACCGTCCTCCCACATCTCAAAGTAACGGTGATGCTATCTCCCCTATCCACCAGATATCGGTGAAGGCATTCGACCTCCCTCTCTGTGTTCTCCATGTAAAGGCACGCCTGTCCCACGCGTAGCATGCTCGCCAATTGCTGTCCGCCATAGCTGCGTCCRCCGAGCAAGTACGAACTCTACAAAACCACTGCACGAATCGCGAAAAAAAACACTACACACTAACGCAGCACCACAAGCAGTCTACCCTTTCATCAAGTTAAAAACAAGGCCCATTTTTTTTGGTGCCAACAGCACACGGCACCGGTGCATTGGAAAATACGAAAAAGACGAACTTTTAMWCATCAAGTCGGGCCTCCCGCAAACRGAGGACCTCRGTGCACAGTRCGTCCCTCACAGCCTGGCCACGTTCCCGRCCGAACATGGACTCCAGCGGACATCCGTCAACACGCCTGTCAACATCGGGAGGCRGACTGTCGGGAGACGAGGCATCCATCAACTCGTCATCCRCTTCCGGCAGGTCACCCCACCCCTGAAGCAGGTTGTGGAGTATACAACAAGTGCGAAACTCCAGCCTCTCCCTCGTGATGTCAGCAATGTGCGGCCTGTAGAAGAACTGGAAACGCATCTTGAACACACCAAAGAAACACTCGATGCAAGACCTCACTATCTTGTGTAGAGCGTCAAACTGCTGCATTGCTCGCGTGACCACCRGTTGACGCCYGTACGGAATGACGAGCCAGGGAAGATTGGGATAGCCGCCATCGCCAAGCAAGTACCCGCCGKGGACACCTGGTATGGAAGGTCGTTCCCCACGGAWRGGATCTTGTGGATCGTCAAAAAACAATGACCCCTTCAGGGCTCGCCTGTACAGTGAAGTGTTCTTCAGAACACGCGCATCGCCCACAGTCCCMGGAAAACCATAGCAGAAGTCCAAGATCTTCAAATCCGAGTCCACCACCACTTGCGTCACGAGGGAGAATTGGTTGTGCCGACCGGAGCAATAGTCATCGCCGTCCCTTGAGCGGGGTTTGTCGACATACACATGGGTGCAGTCAACACAGCCCCARCAATTCGGGAACCCCAACGCCTCGAATTGCTGCATGCGCCGATGACGGTCTTCGAAACCCCAAAAGCTAACAGCCTTCGGATAAGCAGCATGAAGGGCCTCCGCCACTTCCACAATAGCTCGCAAGCTGCTGGTTTTGCCCATCCCGTAATAAGAGGAACTGTGCCAGTGCGAGTCACCGTGGGCCAACCTCTGCAGAGCATAGGCCAGCAGCTTCGCCGGAGGCAATGGCAGCCTGAATTTCGTGACTGTCTTCTCCAAAAAAGGGCCCATCTTTCGAAGCAGATTATGGAAGGTGGAGCGACGCATGCGCAGCAGCTTCATGTAATGGTCGTTCTCAGCGTTGTCTCTTGGAAGCAGGTCGTTCCACAACCCTGCTGTTCGCCTCATGACCCACCACCTAGGAGAAGCCCGAGGCAACAGATCACAGAATTCGACAATGGTTGGCCACAACCAAAGCAAACTACCCCCTCCCTGGCCATGGTCCTCGTCATCATCCCCGATACCCAACAGGGTGTCATTGGACTGTTGCGCCAGGAACAGGGGCCTTGCTGTCCGGAAGCCRAGGAGGTCATCGAGGCTTTGGAATGCGTCCTCGGCCATCCTGACGGCAACAGCCATGACTGCGACAGCGAGCTGTTCTCGCTGCATCCTTCTAAGGCGCGGCATTCCTCCGCCACGCGGACAGCGAACAGCCGACCACCAACCCCCCTCAAACCTCGTAACCCCCTTCGAAGCCCACCCC